GCATAATGAGCTTATGAAAACAACTTGAGGCACAGTTGGCAAAAACCTACAATGAGTGCATTATTTGCATAAAATATGGTAAATTCTATATCTTTTGGCTTTCTGATTATTAAACTGTGTATGGAAGAACAGGATTTAGTGGAACATGCTAAATCTTTAGTAATTCTACTCTCTAAATCTTAATCTGCCTTTGTTCCTTAATCTTTGACAATTAAAAAATATATACTGTTGTTGTTGTTGTTATGTGCATGGAGTCAGTTCCAACTCATAGCGATCCTAAACAAGGTTTCCGAGGCTGTAAATCTTTATGGGAGCAGAAAGCCTCATCTTTCTCCCACGGAACAGCTATGGTTCGCAGCCTGATTCGTAACCAGTACGCTACCTGAGAGAGAGAAAGAGAGAGTCCTGGTGTGGCGATGTGGGTTAATGAGCCAGACTGCAAAGCCGTTTGAACTGTAAGGTTGGCAGTTCAAGCTCACCAGCTGCTCCTTAGAAACCCTATACAGGGTCGCTATGGGTTGGAACCGACGGCACTTAACAACAGCAATGTATATATATATATATATATATATATCATAGCATTCTTATGAAAATACCTTGGAGGGAGGAGGTTACAGTTGGCAAAAATGAGACTGTGGCCCTCAGTTACCTTTCAGATCTGGAACGGAACTCACACTTGTGATACAATTGTCAGCCAAGCAGTAGATAAGTACATAGTGGGGACAGCAAAACTGGTGAGGTCTGCACACCATGTGATGGTCAACTATTCAAGATCGAAAGGGCAACATATATCTAGAGCAGAGTTCAAAAGGGCTAGCAAAGAGGATGGAATGGAAATAAGAACCACAGGGAGGAAGTGGGATAACTGTTGTTACATGGGGTGGATTGTAATCATTGAAATGAACTGAAATATATGCTTTGTTGAATGTAAAACTGATGATCTGCTAAGTAGATTTTTCACTCAGTTCCCAATAAAAAGTTAAAAAAAGAAAGCCTATGGAGCACAGTTCTACTCTGATACACATGAGGTTACCATGTGTCTGAATCGACTTAATTACAAAATAAAACAAAACAAAAACGTGAATGTTTTGAATAAAAATATGGTAGATGGGTTATGTCCACCAATGGAATATAAAGAGAGGAGCTCAATTCCTAAATGTTACTGGAAACCAAGCGGGTGAATCTGTAGCTGCATCAGAGCCATCCTCCTCAAGAGGTGAGTTGTTTCTGGAGACATGGAAGCCTCCTTTTTATGAATCATGTGCTCTCACCTCAGTGGATTATGGAGGGCTCCTGATCCTATTTCACCACAGCCTCCATAGCTCAAAAGATGGGCCATTTGCTGTTGAAAAGGTATGCCTTAAGTTTAGCTGACTGCATGTTTTCATACTATCATTTGTCACGTTTTCAGGGATTCAGATTTCCTTTATGTGACTCTACAACTTAATTGAAGTCATGTTTTTATCACCTTACAGTTTCATCTGCCTTTTCCTACTAATTACTGATCAGTGTCTAATGATAATACCACCCATGGCTGGAACCGAAAAAGTCCAATTCTAACATTGCTGGTTGTGCATTATTTTTGCTTTTTTTCTATTTATTCTTCTTTTCTGAGTGAAGCCTGGTTTCTTTTAAACCAAATCTAATAACTTTTGGATCTTTCTGTGCTTACTTTAATTTTTTTCTTTGGTAAAATAATATTTACCAGGTATGTACTGCTCAACATATTTGGCATTGCTTTGGATGTTATATGGACATTATATACATATCCATTATATATAATTTCTCATTCAAATTTATAGATGGAAACTGAGGCTCAAAGAATTAGATTACTTGCTTGAGACCACAAAACTTGTAAGGGAAGGAGAGCAAGCCAGACTAACATAGAAGCTTATGTTCTTCCTTAGACCACACTTCACAATTACAGTGACCAAATAGACATACGTGACATTTTTTTCAAACGAGGATGTGTTTCTGAATCATTTTAAAAGTATAACAATTATTTCCCACTTCAGTTTATCTTATGGATTCACTGAAAGCACATACATAAAACTGTAAATGAAGAATAACTGCCAATCCCTGGAAAGACTTTATTATTCAGAGTGTTTAAAAACGCATGCTTTGGATTACAACCTAACTGTCAAAATGTAATTTGTCAGCACAGAACCAGCTTACCAGGATGAAAAGAACACACTAATCATTCTTTTTTTTTTTTTTTAATAAGCAAGGTTCCCAATTTCCCATTTACACAAAGAGAAATTCAGAAGTTGCCATAGTTACCAGAAAACATTTGGAAAACAAAGTCTGAATATGTAGGGCAGC